ATAACTGCAATAAGCATTTTATACTTATATGCCAACCCCACAGGAAGGACGGGTATTCTGCTAGTTATATAATATGCCTGATATTAGGCCTATACTGTTTACTGTCGAATCGATGTTACTTATTTGATCCATCACACGGAATATCAACTAAAATTGACCCAACAAGCTTTAGTTCGTAATTTTAAACCACAATGGTTTTAGCTAAGGATGAACTTTCGACACTGTTCATTTTGAAAATTATAAACAGCGTACAAATAATATCGCCCTGCCTTCGAAAATGTGCGATTTCTTGGACCTTTCCTCGCACCAAAGTGTTTCTAAAGGAAAGGCCTCTCATTTCAATTAATAGCGTAACAGAAGATCAAATTATACATATCCCCATCCATCTATATATTAATAGGCAAGCATGTTTCTTTAAAACCTTTTTTTCAGCTCGTGTGCATCGTAGGGAAAATGTACGCATACCGTTAGAAAGCTATTTTCCTGTAGGTGTGCAGAATCACTTTATAAATTTAAATAGGCTCAAAGATAAGCGCAAAAAATGAGTTTAAAAATTGAAAAAATTTACATGGATCTTATGCGTTGCCATGCTGGTGACGAAATAACAACGAAATATAAACAGAAAATCAAAACAAATGGAAGAAACTCCAATCACATGTTTTATTTACAGTGTGGGGTGAAACATTAACATAAGTGAGTACATTACATATTTTTGGTCGAGTTTCGACCACTGGACATTACTCGTATTAACTAAAAGAGCAGTGTATTGAGCAATTCTTTTCAGTTGTCAATGTATTAGGTTTATCACGATCTCGTTTTGCTTTCAATTAAATTTCATTTAAGGATAATAATTGCCTTAAATATCAGTTGGAAATAGATTGAAAGTAAATTCTCAAAGTGCATTAATTAATAAACCATTTTTGATAATTTAAATAATTTTTTGATCGTTAACAAAATCCGGAGTCATTTTAGAATATGTTGATGTTTAAAGAAGTTAAAACTGACAAAACCCTAATAAATTAATCTTAGCTTGTTTTTAAGAGTATAACATAAAATTAATGACGGGGTTAAACTAATGCTATTTAAATAGGGAATAAATGTGATATTTTTAAGGAGACATTTTAGTGTAAATCCAATTAGGCAAATGGAAATTCACTTAGTCGGCAGGTTTGCTGTGGCGGGGGTATTTAGTTTAGCATCGCTATAACAAGTTGACGTATTGGCAATGAATACACAAACTATAGTTTGTGTATTCATTGGTATTGGATATATATCAGTAATTGACTCACATAGTGTGTCTCATAGTTGCCCCTATTCTATGGTATTTGATGTCACAAAAGAGATGTTAGTTGGCAATAAATAAATTTTCCCTTCGGTTTGGTTGTTTTATCTATGGTTTTAGTAAAAGATTGACGTATCAATCTCGTAATTTGCATCAGTACAATCTGTCGGTGGCTAGTTTCACTGAAGTCAATCCTTCATATAAACTGTCTACAGCATTAACAAGCAGTAATGTCTACTTATCAACTCCATTAGGCTGAAGAGGGTGTAGAACTTTTTGAAGTAAACTTCGCGAACATCTTCGGTCAATGGTCAACAATTTTGGCTTGATTATTTTCAACAAAAAGGCGAAACATGTGTTAACCAATGTGATTATTTCCGTATGAGCAGTGACGATTAATAACAATATGAAGGGGAACAAAGCGTGCCAACGTGACAACCCTAATTAGATCGCACCTCCTGCCTGGAGGTTGGTATTTCTGGCTGCACGTGCGCTTCAGGTTTTGTCCGTTCGTTTTTTCAACACTTCTCTTAGCGGGAGCCGCTCAAGAGAATTGTAAAATAATAATTCATACGCCCATAAAAGAAAGACAACAGTGGACGAAAAAGTGAGTGAATGAAGAAAAGAGACGAGTGCTCACCACGTGTTTTGAGACGCGTGGGCTTGGGGTATTGTTAGGGGTGTCCGCGGTTCGAGCACAGCGGAACACAATAAATTAGACTTTAAATTGTAACGGAAAGTATATAAAAGATAGTCTAATAACACTAAGCTGAGTCTTATTAGACTTATCTTTTATTTACTTTCCGAAAATGTAATAGGCCCCTATCACATACAATGCTGATCAAGAAGTTAGTTAATTTATAACCTACACCAATTTACACCAGTTAAGTTAACACCCCTGCCGCAGCAAACCTGCATACTAAGCGAATTTTAATTAGTCTGATTAGATTTTTATTCACATAAACTAGTAATTTATTCTCCTTTTAAATTGCAGATTTAATGAGTACTCCTATTTGCTGCTACTGGGATGGGAAAACGTGCGTGTTGATAAAATGTCAATAGTTTAGGATGAATAAATAAATTTGTTAAATTGTATCAAATCTATAAGTATAAAAGAGGATGTTTGTATATATATTTGTTTGTTTGTTTGTTTGTTTGTTTGGCAGTGATAAACTCAGACACCGCTGAACCGATTGCCACGAAACTTGGTACATACGTGTAGAATGTCATGGAATAGGTTTATACACCATCAATTTCGTGATCCGTCCAATCGGCTCCGCCCCAGTGGCTCTGGAGTTTCCCATGTTAACCTTTTGAGAAATGGAATTAATGAATCTTAACAGCTGTTTCAATTAAACAAGTTGGATCTGTTCTATGATGTTCAATAGCATTAAAGTTACAAGGATTGCCAACAGGGTGCAGCACTATTATGTCTTTTACATTTATGACAACAGCTAATTTGCAACCAAAAGGTGAGTGAGCGTAGCGAACGAACTTCAACCTGGAGGCGAGTTAGCGTAACGAACGAGCTAACCTGAAGGCAAGTGAGCGTAGCGAACGAGCTAACCTGAAAAAATGTTTTTAATGTTTGGAAAAGTCCATTCTATGGATTAACCTTTGTTTCCTGCTCTAACCCGTATTCCATCATGGAGATTCGTATGTTCTACACTGAGTTTTGTTTGTTGTCGAATTCTAGCCATTTACTCTCGGTTCTCATTAATATGTCAACTACGTATTGAAGAGCTAACCTACCACCATGAATTATTGGTGAGAATTCTTGTGTGATGAAGAATTTTTTTGGCTGTGAACTGCAACTGTTTTACTGTGACATTGTGTCCAGTTGATCGCTTTAACTTGAGACTTACTGCGAAACCACCCTTCATCCATAAGGAAACAGTAGGCCTAAGGAGTACGCCATAGGATTTAGATCAAAACATTTCACTGCTAAATTCTCTGAACCCGTTTTTAGGTGCATAGCAAACTTTTAGGTGTATCTTCGGAACAAGAATCAGATTGAATACTGCAGCAAAGTCGTTTTCAGTTGGTAGGCCCTATGTTTTACCACATTTTGTCGCTGTTCCTGTCTGTATAACCGTCCGAACGTTTTATTTTTGATCTTCAAGAGTTTTTCTTAGAACTTCTCCCACTCTTTTGGAAGAATGGGCTAAGGATTTACCTCACTAAGTTCCTTTGAAAGACCTCTCTCCATAGCGCGCTTGTGTTTTGTTAAAAAGTGCCTTACGGTATTGCGTAAGCATTTACCAACTCTGTATAGTCGCCATTTCAATGAAAAGTATCAAAGTTTTACAACAAAACACCCTTTATGAATATCAATGCACGAGACCTTACCGATCGGAACACCCACCACCACCGCGCCGTGCCGTGCAAAGCTGAACTGTTCGCGGTAAATTGTTTTCTCAATCACTGTCGCTGTCAAAACGTATCGTTTGTAGGTTAAATTTAAATTTAATTTAATTTAACTGTTATAACCTAACCAAACTTGCTGATAATGAAAGAAAATCGAATTAAGGTTTACTAATAAAAAAATAGTTCTGTTGCGGTAATGGTGTTCCCTCAAGAGAAGAGACTGACGTCACGCCATCGGCACGGCGCGGGCGCGGTGGTGTTCCGATCGTGAAGGCTACGTTATCAACTCTTCAATTCAACCTTTTGTACTAATGTTGATGATTTTATTACTTAAAAAATAGAAGAGACAATGATTCCTCACCACCTCTGTCTTAATTTAACGTAGAATTAGACTAAATACATACAGACGGTAAGGGGAATGGGGTAAATGCTCTAGTACTACTTTGAAGAAGAAATTAAGACCGAGAACTTCGGTAGAAAAGAGTAAATATACCCCGATTTCACGGACTTGTGTATCATTATTTGTAATGAAAGTGACATAGAAGGTAGCTTGTATCGTATTAAGTTCAAATATTTCAAACACCAGTAATTTTTAACCGATTCCGATCCAAATGTTTGATATGACTAGTAATAATTAAGTAGAACGAGTGCAACGCTATCTGTTGGCTTTTGACAAAACCACGATCTGCATTATCGACGCCACCATGTACAAACGAACGAGTCTGTAGGTAGAGTTATTATACATCGATGGTAGTAGCACGTTTGTTTAAAAAAATCAAAATCAAAATCTAACCATTGAACATATTGATCTGGAAATTTTTTACAAGGACTTTTTTTGTGGCATACTCATGTTCACATTTGGGTTGTTTTAAGTAACCGTTATTTTCCGTAAAAGCCAGTGGGTACCCCTTACAGTTTCTTGGACTCGAGCTTGATTGGAATCTAGCTTCCCCTGTCGCTCGTTCAAAAAGAAAGTCGCCATCTCACTTTTGTTTGCTCCAAACGGTGTTTCAATACGCGACTTTTATAAAAACGGGACTTTTTTTTTATAAACGGGAGTTTTAGACCATACTCGGGACCAAAACACAGGATGCGGGATAAACCCGGATTTTGGTCTCTCTGACTCCGGATTTTCTATTTTACTGCTATCCAGTTAAATCAACCAAAGTATGTTTAATTAAAGGCAAGCTATTTTTACATTGTACGAAAAAAAGTCTTTCGGGACTATAAATAATACACGTGGGATTTTCAAATTGTCGAAACGGGACAATGAGGTACTTTCTTGACCAGAAGCGGGATATTTGTTTTGTTCGTGTGGTGTAAAAAACTGGTTCCAACACCCAAGCGGTTCACTTCCAGAACCAGTTCCTCTGCAAACTTCGTACAAACAAGGTTGGTTGTGTATTTGTCATGGTTCCTTGATTATTGATAGAAACTGCAATAGTATTTGCAATTGGGAAACATATAGTGGTACAGTTCAGTACTTATTTTATTGTCAAAATCCTAACCAACAATTGCTATTTAAATAGTCTTGGTCAATATTTACTTACTGGATCAGAACTTTGAGTATAGCCAGCGAAAGTGCCGGTTCATTCACTAGATTTGGACCAATTTTATTTCAAAGTTTTGGAAACGGTGTTTTCTAAACGAGGAATTGAGGGTTTGCTAGGAAATACAGTATATCTCAACAGAAATCAGTATCGGGGGACCGAGCCTTGCTCGATTAATTGGGTGTATTGGTTAATAAGGGGGCATGATCAAATCTATTTCTGATCCTGTAATTTTTCTATCTAAAACCCCATAAGTCCAGTGCTAAGACTTAGTTACCAAATTAGTTTTTTTCAGCAACAACCACAGTTCCCTGCGATGGGCCTACTATGGTGCGTCATTAAATTTATTAGGTCAAAAATTATCTATTCCTAAAACTAAATACAACCATATTCTTCCCCTAAGTTTTTAAATACATTTAGTTAGAACATCCACAAACAATCAAATCTTTAGGTATAATGTTGTAATCTCTGCTCAATAAATACTACTGATGTTTTTCCCTTTGTACTGTATTTTGTAATTTGCTAGTATACTGTGGATAGCTTGTTATAAACACATGCTACAAGTCACAAGGGTTTTGTTTACTTTTTCCTTGTTATTTTATTCAATTAACATAATTTTTTTTATTTTATTTTTTTTACTTTTACAATCTTTTCTATAATATATTGAACAATAAGTAAATGCTATGTAATACAACAAATTAACTTTTAAATTGTAAATTTTATTGTGTTAATTTTGACACTTGGCAACCCATTCCCATAAAGCAAATGTTAAATTTTAACATTTTAAAATGAGTTGTGTAGCGAAATGCGAATTTTCCTGAGGTAGTGGCTGTCATCAATCACGTATTCAGGGCTATATGATAAAATAATACAAATAAAATTTACTTCCAAAACGTAGTCATAACCCTTTCACTGGATTTCAATATATATATTACAGACAAACGCTCGTATAATAGAATAGGATAGTGGATACACTATAAACCATAATTCAACTATGGGCACACATTGAAGTGTTACTACTTATAGTAGTTGAAAAGTTTTCATTCACAACAATCATTTTATATATCATGAACTGGTTAATTTTATTAAATTACAGGATGTCTAGCTTCAAAGTGAGAATTATAAAAGGGTTATTTTAAGACAATTAGGGGTTATTAATACAATTTTAAAGTGCTTTATAATAAATCTCATTGATAGGTGCAAATGGTTTATGTGCAATAACATGTATTTTATTAAAACGTTTTTATTAGCTCGCTTTCTTGTCTGGTACAAATTTTTCAATAAATTTTAAACTATCTTCTCAATGATCTAGAGACTTGAAACTTGAAACATAGCTCACAAATAAATGACAATGCAATACTATAACATTTTATTGTGATATTTCCCTTGGGTTAAGCCCCATGGGCTTCCAAATTTTCCATGTTTACTTTTTGAAAGAATGTAAATATATCAATTGAAGTCAGCTGTAAATACTTAAATTTGACAGTTCGCAGAGCAGGGATTAAGAGGTACAGGTTCTGCTCCCCAGATCTTCTAAAATATAAAACAAGCATTTCAAAGTAAAGATAAAACATCTGATTACAGATTATAAGGTTTTGATAACTTCTTGATCAGCATTGTATGTGTTATTAAATTTATGGAAAATAAATAAAAGAAACGTCTTATAACACTTAAAACATATATTTACGCTTATATACTGTTACTCACAAGACGGTAAATATACATAAAAAATGGTAAGTGGAGATCGATTTCGATTGGACACTCCAATCATCATCAGACCCAATAGGCGAATCTATTGGGTCTGATGATGATTGAAGTGTCCAATCAAAATCGATCACCACTTACCATCTTTTGTGTATATTTACCATCTTTTGAATAAAATTATAATCGTAAATATATGTTTTAATTGTTATAAGACGTTTCTTTTATTTACTTTCCATAATAATAGTTCAATAGGTGAAGATAATTGTAAATTGGCACGCGCCCCACGTTTTTCGTTTTAAATCTTACAAGTATTTATTCTCTCTACGTATTTATAAATTATTTTCTACTTTTTAGTGTGTTTAAAAAACGGGCATTTAAAAAAAGTATTTTTCTTTATATAGGCCTAAGTATTTTTGTCTCTATTTGAACAATATAACACTCTGAAAGAAGAGAGCACAGACAAGACATTTAAATTATTGGTTACTCTCTGAAGCTCAATGGTCTGTTTTCCATGTCGGATACAAGTGGAAACTCAAGCTTAAACGGTCATTCACTGGTGCACTCACCCTACTAAACTATAATCGTGCTGCAGTAACTAAAAATATTAACACTATCCTTCGTGCTTGGTTCCCATTGGACCACAATTCTCCTCACTGGTAGTTAGTGAGTTCTGCCGAGGGACCGAGTTAGCCAGTTCCGCTCTCGGATAGAACTCGCTAACCCGGCCAGTGAACTAGTGGGTTCTGGAGTTACCCAATTCCAAAACCAAACAAGTTAGTGGGTTCCGCCATTTACTATACACAAATGTATAGTAAATGGATCCGCTAAACAAGCGATTTTGGAAATTTCATATTCATATTAATTTGAGATGGGGACACCACCTAGGTGCGTATTTTAACCAAAATATGAGTGCAGGGCATGTTGAGTGTGGAATGGTGTGAGATGCTCTGTGTAGCTTTGTTTCTATAAGATCAGTTATCTCATTAATCAGCAGGATCATTTAAAGTCCAATGATCAGGAACAGCTGGGTCCAGTTTCGAACCATCAAAAAGCTACTGTTCTCAGGATCGAACCGGCGACCTTTTGATCAGGGGATTTAACAAGGGGTTAGCGAGTCCCGGAGCCAGCAAATTTCGCCTACAAAAAAAAAAAAACATGACCATAAGATTATTTATAGTGTGACAAGTACGAAGTTTTTTATTAAAATCATTATCTGTTTTACTGGAGAACAGGAATTCGTGTACCTATCTATTATTTATTGTTAAAAATGTGATACTCTTTATTTTAGACTTGATGTTTTTGAAAAGAACACAGAGTGTACTGCAGTCACAAAAAGACAAGCTGTCTAAAATACAGAACAATCTTTTAAAGCAATATTGGAAAACCTTTTTAAATAAAAAAAAAAAAAAACTAGCAACAACAAACAGGTCAACAAAAACATTGGCTGTAACCAGTCCATAGACGGGATGTGTACCTCGGTATGACAAAGTGTAAGATAAGTAGTCTCTTATTCATAACAAAAATATTGACACTTGCAGCATAAAAGTATTCTATTGCAGTATTCCTGTTACCTCTGTTGTTTTGTTGGCAGACATGGGTTTCCTGGCCTACCTCGCTGTGACAGCTGTCGGTGCAGCAGTGTTAGTAGTCCCGGGTCTGGGTGCCTTGGTATTACCGTGGCTGGGGTTCGGCACCGCAGGTGTGGTTCCTGGCACTATAGCCGCTTCTGCCCAAAGCTGGATAGGAGGGACCGTGGTAGCTGGCTCTATCTTTGCCGCCCTCCAAGCCTTGGCCACGCGAAATAACGGAAGGAAATAAATCTCAGGTGTCGGAGGTATATTTTCGGCCAACAACATAGACTTTAAACTATAAAATTAAAACATGCAACCCTATGCACAGAATACAAAATCCCATCTGGATAATCTCTCAAATTCTTGAAATAATTAACCTTGCAGTATCTTTATTTCCAAAATTTATTGTGTGCACATAAACCTCAAGTTTACAGTCTAATGACCCTAAGAAGGCACTTGTGCTTGTAGAGAAAAAGGTCGATATTGGCAAAAAATAACGTGCGTTACCAAAAAACATTGGTTTTGTCACTGAATCCCCAGCTACTGTTACTTACCGTACACCCCTGACAGTAACTTTCTGTGCGCACGGCCACACTAAGTCGATTAGTGAGGTGAGTGTTGAGTATTAAGGAAGATCCAATGTTTACTTCAAGGATAGTACAGCGTTTTCGCAAAATCTATGAAGTGCCTTTGTAGCATCGTTTGACTGTTAAATTCACTGATTTTTACATTGCGTAATTTCTCGGGGTATTGGCAAATATTCACATGAGGTATTCATTAATTTAAAATCTTCTAAAAAATCCATTACTAATGAAGACTTGACACATTATTGCTGAGAAGATTTATCGATTACTATAATTAATGTTGTAAATAAAATAAAATTTAATTAAGAAAGGTATTCACTGCATCTTTATAGAAAATATCTTGCTATGGAAAGATTGTGGCATGATATCATGGTATGGTCTTGGGCAGATGATTAAGTTTATATTCTCAAATAAGATCTACAAGTTTCTGTTTCCATACATTTGTTAATCTTACAGTATTTTTAATAAGTGACAATTTTGTGTTAAAACATTTTAAGCTTTAATAACAAATTATTAAGCTTATTATTCTATGAAGAATCACGTGCACAATCACACTGTTTCATTTTCAGTTAATACAAGTTAAATTGTATTCATAATTTGTTACCTTTTAGAATTATCTGTGACATTTTTATTTTGCAGGTGAAATTGAAAAGCAATTTGAAGGTGTTGGAGTGCCACCAAGCCAAGTGCATTTATATATTGTGAATTTTTATTCCATACCACCAGTGCTTTGTATTCATTATTTCTTAACTCTTGTGTTTTGTACTGCCAAAAATACATTTTAAAAATTGTTTTCAATTGTATTTTATTATTTCACTTAACAAAACCATATATATCCTTTTTATAAATTTTCGCTTCAATACATTATCTGATTAGTAAATTCCATATCCAACTTTTTTTGGTTTTAAAATGGTGGCCATTTTAATTGTTATAGGCCTAACTTAAATTAGAAAATAACTTATGATTTAATGAGAAGATACCAACAAGACTTTTATTTAACATTTACAATTCTCTATCACACAACACCAAGTTCAAAGAGATCGAATAAAGAATTGTTGAGAAATCACAATTATTTTTGGCCCAAAATGAGGCGAGCCCTGACTGCAATGCATCTTTTGCCTGGCTAGTATAACTAAAAATCGTAATTTCTTGTGTTGGTTAGTCTAGACTCAACCTTGGAAAAAGCCATTAAATACATACATTCATATTCATTTGAGAGCTACCTATGTGCATATTTTATTCACCCCAAATATGAGTGTAGAATGGAGTGTGATGCCTTGTGTAGCTATGTTACTGACTTAGATCAGCTGTTTCATTAGCCAGGGCCATTGAAAGCCCAATGAACAAAAATAGCTGGGTCCAGTTTCAAACCATCAAGAAGCTACTACAGTACGGACTTTCTCAGGTGTGCCCCATAATATTACTAAGGTGTGTAAAATATTACAAATAAATCCCCCTTTTATTTCATTTCATTTATTTCAACAGCAAATTCCAATTTATACAGGAACAATTCAAAATGGACATAATTACTGTGCAACAAATTTTACAAGCAAAGGCAAAGAACAATATGCTTAACAAAACAACAAATTGAAACAATAACAGATCAACAATAAAAATACAGAAATTGAAACAAAAACAAGAACAAGCAAACAGAAAAAATAAATTAATTTACAATACGATAACTAGAACCACTGACAAGACCGAAGCAAACAGAAACAGTAAGTTTTCCATTCAAGGCAGTGACAATATATAATAATGCAAATAAATAGGACTAGTATAAAACATGGGGAGAAATTGCAGTTTTGACTAGAAAATACTTTCAATGAAACAGTTATTGCGTGCTCATAACAATAAATAACTTCTTGATCAGCATTGTACGTGTTATTAAATTTACGGAAAGTAAATAAAAGAAACGTCTTATAACACTTAAAAATTTAAGTTTTATAAGACGTTTCTTTTATTTGCTCATAACAATGTCTTAAAATTTATAAAAATACTCAATTTAACAAAAGAAAAACTATTACATGCAAAAAAGAAAGAGAGAAACGAGAAAAAAGAACATATACAGAACATCAACCCGGAGGGCGACGGGGCCAATATTGTGCACCCCCAAAAGCCATCGATCACCGAACGCAGATTTCTTTCAAAAATGGATGAGCTGCAACAGAAGATGTTGAGGTTTCCAGGTATTGAGTTTCTGTGCTTTTGAAGTCTCACAATTGGACTGTTACTTCCGTAATTTGAGGAAGCTGCTACCCTGGTGAAAAGGTCAGTGAAAAGGAGCGAGTACCAGTTTGAACCCTAAAGTTGACCTTTTGGCGTAATTCGGGGCAGTCAAGCTCAGAAGTGACCAGACGCTGGAGAAATAGTAAGTCATGGTTGAAGCGTCTAAATTCAAGTGAAGGCATCTTCAGTAGGGATTGAAGATCAGTAATAAGAGTCTCATGAAACCTGTATCCCAGGTGAGTACCCACAAGACGCACAAATCTTCTTTGCACACTGTCCAGTTCGTCCTTCAGATTGTTGGTGAGGGGACCAGATAATGTCACAATATTCCAGGTGGTGTCACACAAGGGAATGAAATAGCAACTATCCTGAGTCGGTGCTATTATGAAGGTTGACGAGATTGGGTGAATTAGGCCGAGGTTGCGTAAGGCTTTGTTGCAGACAGAGAGGACATGTCGGCCTTAGTCACTAACAAGACTACAAGATCGCGCCACTCATCCTACACTTATCCTTCACTCATATTTGGGTTAAAATACACACATAGTGGCGTCCCCATCTTAAATAATTGATAAATTGATAATTGATTGATCCCATATGAGGTTTGAAGTGAACAACATGCCGAGGTCCTTAATCGCCGAGCATCTAGCAACCTCTTTGCCATCAATTGCATAGTTCCTTTGAAGGGTGTTGGATATCAGAAAAAAGTGATATAATTGTCGACATTTAAGGACATCTTGTTCCTAATACACCATCTGGCCACAGAATCCAGGCTAATCTGGAGAATTTCTAGGTAATCCATGGAAGAAATTTTTTGGTAGAGCTTGAGATCATCAGCGAATAGTTGGAAGCTGCATTGAAGGTCTGTAGTGAAACGAGATAAATAGCATGGGACCTAGCAAGGAACCTTGTGGAACTCCCGAGGTGGCATAAAAGTGATGGGAAAGTGAGCCATTGTACCTGACTTGAAGGACTCTGCCTTGCAGATAACTTGCGAACCATCGAATGAAACAACCGTCAAAGCCAAAGGTCCTTAATTTTCCACTAGGAGCCTATGACTAACAGTTGAAAGCCTTCGCAAAATCAAGTTGGATTGCATCGACCTGGCGAAGATTGGCAACGCATCGAAGATATCTGTTTAAAAGATTATCAGGTTTGTGGATGAGCAGCGGCCAGTCAAGAAGCCATGTTGATTGGGGGAGACAAATGGCGAGATGATGGATTTGAATCTAGGCAGAACGACTTTTTGAAGATCTTTGAGATGACTGAGAGAATCACTATTGGTCGGTATAGTTCTTGGCGTCATTTATAGGTCCTTTTTTTATGAATTGGAATTATATGACTTGATTTAAGGATGGCGGGGAAAATACCATTTGACAGAGACAGATTGAAGAGATTAGTGAATTGTGTTCCAGTATGCAGCGGCAGTGCTTTACAACAGCTAGCTGGCAGGATGGAATCGGGACCGCAACCTTTGTTTGCATCAATGTTTATAAAATTGCTTGGCGGACTTTTTATTAATTATCAATTATCAATTATTTGAGATGGGGACGCCACTATGTGCGTATTTTAACACAAATATGAGTGAAGGATGAGTGTAGGATGAGTGGCGCGATCTTGTAGACTAGTCTTGTTAGTGACTAAGGCCGACATGTTCCTTAGACACAGCTGTTAATTAATAGCCCATACAGTAAATGGCATCTAGGGGACCTACAGTTTATTGTGGAATCCGAACCACATTTTTCCTTCGTAATTAACGAATTGGTCTAATTATTAGGATAGTACTGCGGATAGTCATAGTACTCTCTAGTACGGACGTTAATCTACACCAGGTAGCATCGCATGGCACAGTGCATCCCTATAATTATCCACAATCCACTTCATGCACATGGATGAGGGAGAACGAGTGTGACCCCATTAATTGATACGCAGGGGTGGAGCAGTCAGGTGGGACGTATCCTTGCCGAACACTGAGGAGTATTATGTAGCAAACAACTCGGCAGCTGACTGTTCACTATCGGAGGTAGATCTGTTTAGAGACATTGAGGTCGGCGTCGAGGTTGAGCTATTAAGGCTTTTTCCATAGGACCAACAAATTTTGTGGTTTTGTGGAGGACATCTTCCACGTGGTTTATATAATTTGTAAAGCAGGCTGTGGACAAGGCCTTGCATTGAGCTCTGGTGGCAGAAAAACGACAGCATGAAGCTTCGTCCAGGTTCAACTTATGAAGACTTTTTTTCAATAGTTAAAAGCTTAAAGCTCTCCAGTAAATCACATGGTAAACCTGGTAGGTCTGCAGCATTTCATCGGGGAGTTCTTCTCAACTGAATATCTAATGGTGTTTATGACCAGTTGGAACGATTTGTTTTCCACCCACAGCCGAGGCTATCACATCGAAATTGGTTACAGACAGGTCTTCGTAGACATTCTGTAGGTTGCACCTTCTTGTATTGAGCACAGATCTGCGTCTAACACTTGATGGAGATGGCTGAGCAAAGACACAGTTTAGAACTGGGTGATGTCTGTCTTCAGGGATTAAGGGGTCTTCGTCACGAAGTACTAGAGCATTAGAAGACGAAGTGAAGATCAGACCAAGCAGGAAAATCCTCGGTAGTTTGTTATTGAATTGACATGAAAAAGAGAAAACATCACCGCTAAGTTGGAACGACTGAGAGGGGAGGATTTGCTTCAGGCGCAAGTAGTTATGGTAGGAGAGGATTTTATGGAGAATTGAAATGAAATTGAAAATTTTCATATATGTGTATTTGTGATTGGAGGGGTATATGTTAATGAATGTTGAGGGTTGGTGTTTGTTATTGAAAGAGTGATAGATAATGAAAGAGAAAATGGAGGAGGAAGAGGGTAATGAAAGAGAGAGGGATAGAGAATGTGTGGGATTGTGAGTGAGTGAGAGAGAGAGTGAAAGAGCAAATGGGGGAGGAAGAGGGGTATTGAAAAGAGAGAGAGAGAATGTGGGTTGGGAGTGAGTGATAGAGAGAGAGAGAGTGAGAGGGTGATTGTTCATGATGATGATGATGATGATGTCATTGTGGGGGTTCCTGTTATGTTATGGGTTCATGTGTGTGTGTGTGTGTGTGTGTGTGTTTTTTTATTACTGCTTTATTCTGTATTACTTGGTATAGTTTATTATCAATTACTCTGTTGTAGGTGTTGTACATTTTAATGGATAGTAGTATGTTTTTATAGTTTGTAAAATTAAAAGATTTGGGTAAATTCTTTAGTCGTGGTATGGTATCTTTCAATGTCCTGTACCCGTATGTTTTACTTCTTACTGTAAAAAATTCTAGAATGGGATTATTAGGAGATGTATCTTTAAATTTACCTAAGAGAGTATTAGAAATGAAAGGTTGATCTTTTGTAAATGAAGTAGAAACACTAGTGAATACTTGTATTGCAAATGAATCATTGTCTATGTATATTAAATTGAACGGTGGGAAGTACTTTTTCAAGTTATTGTAATACATGTGGTACATGTATCTCTTACTTAGATCTAGTATTGAAAATCCTACAGGTATGGGTTTCTTGCACTGGACCCTTTTCTTTTTCATGAATA